CGGTCTCGAAAGAAGGAGCGAGAAGCCCCCGAGTCAAGGGTGAAGGTGTGGGAGGCCGAAGCCGACGCAGTACCTGAGAGAGCAGACTCACCAGCACCTGAGGGAGCAGACGCACGAGCACCTAGAGCAGCAGCCTCGCTAGCACCTAGAGCAGCAGCCTCACCAGTACCTAGAGCAGCAGTCTCAATGCCCGGGTCGGGCGGAAAACACCGGTAACAGTCACCCTCATCACTAATAGTCACAGCATACATGGCAGCAAGAATAGCATCAAAGTCAAGGTCAAAGACAGCTACACCCGCCCTAGACAGCTCGCCCCAGCGGGGGATCTCAGTGGCCTCAGGGAACTGGTGACGCCAAGCGTCCGTCAGGCGGCCAAAGCAGCGCTGGGTGGAGTGCGCACCCCCGCACTGCTCACCCGCGCGGTCGCCGGTGCGTAGGACGTAGGTGCACGGACCAGTACCCCAACCCCGCTGGCGTGCAGCGTACCACTCACGGAGCTGCTGAGGGGGGGGGAAGTCACGAGTGCGCTGCTGCTGCTGCTGCTGCTGCTGCTGGCGCTGACCACCACCGGAGCCGACCCTCTGCGCAGCGCCACCCCGACCAGCTCCACCTCCTCCGCCGCCGCCTCCTCCACCGCCGCCACCTCCGCCACCTCCGCTCCCACCGCCACCGCCGCCGCCGCCTCCGCCTCCACTGCCGCCACCGACACCTCCACCCCCGCCACCACTCCCACCACCACCCCCACCCCCTCCACTGCCTCCACCGCCACCTCCGCCACCCCCGCCAGCCCCTCCAGCACCCTTGCCCCCCTTGCCCTTGCCGGTGCGGCGTCTCCCGCTCGGGGCAGACGCAGCGCCGACCGACTCGAAACCAACGAGGTCGGCCGCAGCAGCAGAGGCAACAGAGGGCAAAAGGGGGGAGGGGGAACACCCCTCAAAGACGGGGGTGCGAGGGTCACCACGAGAGGCTCCTACAGCGACTATGCTCTTCTCTGCTGCTAGGAGGGCCTTCTCGAGGAGGTCAACGGTGAGAGTGGTGGGGCAAACTGAGAGGAAGTGGTCTCTGACTACGCGAAGGGAGTCAGGGAGGCGGGTGACTATGTAGTAGAGGGTGATGTACATGGGGGGGGGGTTCTTGGCGCAGAACTCAGCAGGAAGCGCAGCGCGGTAGCGAGTGTCACTAGTGCGGAGGTGCGTAATGAGGTCAGCGACTGTGGGAAAGGCAGCAAGGTCAGGGAAGAGGTACGGTAGCATGAGGCGGCTCAGTGCAGCAGTGGCAGGGGAGGAGTAGCGCGCAACTACAGCGTCGTACAAGGTCTGAGCACTCTTGTACTGGCTAAAGTGCGCACGCTCAGAGGTAGGCAGGTGGCGACGCACAGCAAGACGTGCAGCAGCATCGCGTGTGGCCCACTGTGAGCAAACAGTGGCGTCGGCATCAGCAGCAGGGGCAGGAGAGGCACCAGAGGTGAGGTCAAAGAGGGAGAGACCGTCTGCCCTATCGCACTGTAGGAAAAGCTGCAGGTCATCTACCCAGACGTCAAAGTCAATGGCCCGACCCTCAGCGTCAAAAGCGAGGACACTAGGGGTAGCCATGACAGCAGTAGACTAGCAGCGCGAACAGTAGGGTAAGGGCAGTGCAGTGACAGAGGCGCTGCTCTTACCGGACAGGGCGGCTCGGGCGGCTCGGCGGCTCGGCAACTCGGCGGCTCGGGCGGCTCGGGCGGCTCGGCGGTACGGCGGCTCGGCAGCAACTGCGGCTCGGCGACTCGGCGGCTCGGGCGGCTCGGGCGGCTCGGCGGTACGGCGGCTCGGCAGCAACTGCAGCTCGGCGGCTCGGCGACCCGGCGGCTCGGGCGGCTCAGGTGGCGCGGCGGCTCGGGCGGCTCGGGTGGATCGGGCGGCTCGGCAGCAGCTCGGCGGCGCCGGCGGCTCGGTGGTGACGGCGGGGCCGCGTGGGGACGGCGGCGGGGCCGGGTGGAGCGGCGGCGGGGCCGGGTGGAGCGGCGTCGGGGCCGGGTGGAGCGGCGTCGGGGCCAGTAGAGGCGGCGCCGGGGCCGGGAAGGGCAGCTCCGGGGCCGCAGGGGTAGGCGACGGGGCCAGCAGAGGCGGCGCCGAGGCAGGGAAGGGCGGCGCCGGGGCCGCAGGGGTAGGTGACGGGGCCGCCAGGGCGGCTAGGAGGGGGGGGGGGGGTCGCGAGGGCGGCTTGAAGAGGCCGCGAGGGCGGCGAGAAAGGGCCGCGAGGGCGGCGTGAAAGGGCCGCGAGGGCGGCGCGACGCGACGGAGCCGCAAGGGCGGCGGATCGGGGCCGCGAGGGCGGCGCGACGCGGCCGCTAGGGCGGCGCGACGTGAAGGGGCCGCGAGGGCGACGCGACGGGGCCGCAAGCGCGACGCGACGGGGCCGCTAAGGCGGCGCGACAGGGTCGAGAGAGGGGAGCGCGACTCGGGCAGTGTAGAGCGCGCTTCGGGCAGGAAAAAAAAAGGTGGTGGGCCCTAGGAACAGTTCCCACAGGGGAACCTGCTCGATACCATGAGAAACTGAACGAGAATGAATTGACTAAGGGAGAGTTGGGTACAAATACAAACCCTAGAAAAGCTGTACCCCATATGTGCTACCCCACTATAGCCTACAGTAGCTATGTCATATAAATCTGACATATATGTGACACGCACTCATCTCTACGCAAGCAAACAAATCACCCTTACTGGTGGAAACGTTCTTCATAGACGTTAAAAACCATGTTACAAGCTGCAACTCTGCAAAAGGCACAACTGTTAGTTATGACGGCAGCATGAGTCAAAAGACTGAATATCCCACCTGCTGCTGCGTGAAGATGAAGTAAAAGTCTCTTAAAAGGTACCGATCTGCAAACAAATTCAACAACATCCCATAACACCAGCCATGGCTTTTATAGGATCACTGACAGACTTGTTAACATGATAACCCGAACACTGCTAGCACAAACAAATGAAACTGGCGGAAAGGCGATATCTAAACCGACTTACCGATTCACAATGTCGAGAATCGCGCGTTGAAGAGCTTCCTCACGCGCCTTATTGAGGGTTGAAGATAATCATGAAAAGTGACACAGTGGGAACAAGCACAAAACAAGAAACCCAGGAGAAAGTGTACGACATCATGACGATAGGAATAACCGACATACTCTTCCATGGCAGCACCTACGGGTCGAAGTGCTGCCTGACGCGCCATGTTCGAGTTGTCAACATATTTACTGAAAGGCACAAGGAGAAACACGTAAAAAAACACGGAAAGATATATTGTAAAAAGCTGACGACGGGAAAGATGATAAGACTGCGACCATAGAGGCAGCAGGGAAAAATAAAACAGGAAGAGGCAGTCGCGCGACGCGGGCATTCGAGCTAAGAGAGTGAGGAGAAAAGTATGACAGAGGACTACGAATGAATCAAGAAATGAACAGCGAGACTCTTGAAGGAGCAGCTGGGGACGAACGCATGGTTGGAGCAGGTCAAGGATGGGGTGGGGGTAGCTAGAGGCAGGGTTGGTTAAGGATGCGACGTGTCTTGAACAGATTCGACCACAAGTTACGGTCAGCGACGTGGTCTCAAAAAATTGCACACTCACAAGTTCATTCGCTATCCTGTGTCAGCTGGCAGCCGAACCACGCATGCAATCTGCCCGAACCTGCCTGTGTGGGTACGGTATATGGACGGGAAGCGACGTTGGTTTCATTTTGATGACCAAGCAGTACAGCGAGGATGCAAAAAAATATCAGTCACGACTGTGCTGTGCTGGACAAGCTGCATTGGTGGTGTTGTTTGACTGTAGATATCGTAACATGTCTCCAATCCAATGCCAGTTACTGTTGGCGAATTGTCGCCACTACGCGAAATTGCTTCGCCAGTAGTCGGTTGGATCATTTGGGCCCTGTGCCTAGTCTGTGGTGAAATTCGTTACCTGGTTGTGACTTCGGGTTTTCTTTGGGATGAGTTTGCATGAAGTTGGTGTAGGTAGCCCCGAGGTGACCTGCCTTGGGGGTGAGTTGAGCCCATCGCAATTTTTGAGACGGGCAAATGACCTATCTTAACAGAAATCACAGTTCTAACTCATCAGACTCAGGCCAGTCGACCTGCCTATTAACCAGTTCTGTGCTTGGAAGATTTTAGAATATTGCAGTGCTACTTCAATCAGAAGCAAATCCAACGGAAATTCCCCAGAATTATGTGTCATCAGAAGCCGACAAGAAACCGGTTCCATGAAAGTTTTTCAAAATACTCGTTTTTAGAAGAGTATTTTTTATATTTGCTGGATTGCAACGGGTAATTTGAAAACACCAGTTCTAGCCACATGTGACCATATGGGCTGGGATATAAAATAGCCTAGGCTGAAACCTGTTTAGGAATTGGTTGGCATCTCGGTTGCGACTGTGTTGTGCAAGAAATGGGGGTTCTCATTTTGACTCATTTGGCTGAGGATTTCTGAGGAGCTCTCTAGTCTGACTGACCAGATTTTGACCAAACGAATGGCTGACATTGAATCTCCATGGGTCCGCTTACGACATCACTTCCTTGGCAAGCTTGCTAACTAGTAGTTATGTTTGTCGTCCGCACTTTCTGAAACTTTGACTCAGACGGCTCACCGAATCTTAAACTGCTTCTACGGAGCGCGAGCCCGCTCCCGGTTGGCGATCACCGCGGCAGCGAAAAACGGACTCGGAGGCGGATCTAGTACTTGGACTACTAGTACTACTAGCTGTCACTACCGTAGCGGGTGCTGATGACCTTGCCGAAAGCCTCCGAGCGCGGCGGCGGCGGTTGGAGAAAACACGTCACCCCAAGCTGTATGAAACAGAAGCAGGCGTGGGAAGAAGAGGATGTCGCGACAGCGGGGATCCAGTCGATTGCTCCTCGGTGCTTTTTCAGGGTAAAGTGACAATGTCGAAGTGTGCTTTCAGGCTGTAGCTTAGGATTTTGCGGATAAAAAATTGGTGCTAGATCTCCTTCTCCAATATTCTTCCTTTGGTAATGGAGATCTCACGGATGCCCTGTGCTGTTTAGTAAATACTATTTAAATAGTAAAAGTTGGGGTTGGGGTAGCGGGTAAGGAAGTGGGTACTTCGGAGCTTGGTTTGAACAATTTCCAAACACAGGTAAAGGGGGAGCGGGTGACAGGAGGGGAGAGGGGAGGGAGAGATAGGGGTAGTAAGAGAGGGGAAATGAAAAGTTAGGGAAGCAAGATATCTCTAATCTCCCTTTTGCTCCCAGCTCCCCGCACAGTGATGAAGCAGCAGCCCGTATCCCTCATTCCTCCTCCTTCTCCCGCTCCCCCCCTCTCCTCACACCCCCCCTTCTCCCACACCCAGCGCCATTGTTCACGGTGCTGGTGGTCGTGTGGGTGGCATGCGGTACAGCGATAGCGGCGTGGCTGCTGTGGGATCGGCACAAGCAGTACGAGGATCACAGGGAGGAGGCGCTAGGCTTGTGGTGCAAGGAGCGCGCCCTCACGCTGCAGCAGCTCGTGCTGGCCCACGCGGGGCAGATACAGGTTCGTTTGAATAGCACTCATCCGCAGCACAGCACTGTGCAGCGCAGCACTGCGCTCACTTCTGGCGCATGAACAGCTCTCGTCAGCCCCCAACCCCCCCTCATAAGTCACCTCGTAACAATCTTCCACGCGTGAGCAGGCCGGGGCAACTTGCAAGTGGGATGTGGGCCGCGTGTGAAGCATGCGGGCTGCTACGCCTTCTGCTGCTCATCCTGATGCTGTTTGGCGTAGTCGAATGATTCCATTCCAATCCACTTCCCTCCCATTCTTGTGAGGCCTTTATAGGCGTGCAAGCACCAAAAGGAATGAGTGCGTAGTGTTCAAGATATCCCAGTTATCCCACTCCTGTCCCCTCCCATTCTTCAATTCAGACTTACGGGGCTGTGATGTCTGTGATGGCAGGTCAAGGCGGATGTGGGACAGGCCAGGAATTGCATGTGGGACAGGCCAGGGCGGACATGTGGGACAGGCCAGGGCGGGCGTGTGGGACATGGACGGAACAGTAAACGCAGCGGCTTGTGCCGTTCAGACTCTGCGCCTTGTGTAACGAACGATTCAATCTGATCCCCTCCCGTTCTTCAGACTCTGGCGGGGTTAATCTCTGTGATGGGAACGCCAGGGCGGCCGGGCAAGTGGGACATGGGCCGGTGTTTGAACTGCAGCTTGTGGATGTCATATCTCACTCGCACCGCTCAAACCCGCCCGGGGAACACGGGTGCGCTCGCGTGTACGGTGGTGTGCGATGCAGAGAGGTGAGAGGAGAGCGGGGGGATGAAGGAATAGAGAGAGAGGTAAGGTCGATGGGGGGAGGGGTGTGGTGAGAATAAAGGGAGGTGAGAATATTGAGTAGGGTCGGAACAGCAGCAAACCTGGCGACAAGTGTGTTTGAGTGGTGTAAGCCAGCAAGACCAACCACCACTCCCCATACATCCCCCATTATTTCCGCACAAAACACTGCTGTAGGGGCTTGTTTGAGAAGCAATACGCCAGCACAAGAAAAAGCAATCTCTTTCCGAAAAAAATCTCCCGATATCCCCTTACCAATTCCCTCCTTATTGACCCCACACGCATTGCTGCAGGGCGGCCTTTGAGCGGGAATACAGCAGCATCAGAGACAACACGCTGATCGTCAGCGCCCGCCGCCCCATCTACTGCGCCAAGGTCCTCGAGCTCACAACGCTGTGGGCCACCAACGGCCCCAGCAACATCGACATGTTTCAGCGATTCTCCTGGGCCATCCCATTGGTGGAGGCAGGAAGGCACTTCTATACCTGGCCCTACCCCCTCGCTAACCCGCTCACTCATGCCGGATTCGGTGAGTGGGTGGGTGGGTGGCGGGTGGGTGAGTGAGGGAGTGAGGGTGCGAGGGAGTGGCTGAGGTGAGGCAAATTTTGCGGAGAATCAAAAGAGGCGATCAGGATTAAACATATGGTTCCAACCTCTCTTCTGTTTCCCCTCCCCACTGTTGCTCTTGATCCGCCCAACCTCAGGTGTGGTCTTTCCTCTCTTTCGCAACCTCCCCACTAACCACTCGAATCAGTCAGCAGCAGGGCGAGCAGTGTATGGTTCACTGGCTGCTTCCGTTGACGTGACTTACATTGCTCAGAAGGTCTTAGAAGAGCTGTATGCGCCTGGTGAGTAAAGGGATGTATCATGTATGCACCTGGTGAGTGAGGGGCTGTATCATGTATGCACCTGGTGAGTGAGGGGCTGTATCATGTATGCACCTGGTGAGTGAGGGGCTGCATCATGTATGCACCTGGTGAGTGAGGGGCTGCATCATGTATGCACCTGGTAAGTGAGGGGCTGTATCGTGTATGCACCTGGTGAGTGAGGGGCTGTATCATGTATGCACCTGGTGAGTGAGGGGCTGTATCATGTATGCACCACCTGGTGAGTGAGGGGCTGTGGGTAGAAGGTTTCTCGCTGTATCGTTTGTGCTCTTCTTCTCATCCCCTCTTCTCTCTCATCCTCCCCCACCCATACCATGCAGACCCATCCAAGTCCTTTGAGCTATACGACATCACCGATCCAACCACTCTCTCCGCCATCGTCTCTCCAGTCCCTCCCCACGCCTACTTCCGCCCCGACGACAAGCTCCCCTACATGCACCCCTCCCCAGAGACCGAAACTCGTCCCTGGGAGCATCGAGCCGTGGTGCCTATGGAGGAGATGGGAGGGGGGGTGAGAAAGTACGAGGTCTGGTGCAGGTGCGTGCGTGAGCCTTCTTGGTTTCGAAACCTGCCCCCGGCCCGCTCTTGCTTTCGCTCTCTTGCTCCCTTTCTCCTGCTCTCCCTCTCTCCTGCCCTCTCGCTCCCCCACATGAACCCCACTCCGGGTTCCGAAACCGCCTCTGGGAGCACCGGGCATCGGTGCCTGTGGAAGGAATGGGAGCAAGTGTGCGAAAGTACGAGGTCTGTGTTGACAAAAGGCATCGGCCCCGCTTGTCGATAGTCAGCCTCCGTGGCCGATATGCAATGCATGCAGGCTTGGTTTCTTGGTCAACGGGACTTTTGTGACGTCTGTGGCGACAAGTCTCCAATCGGCGAGCATCGATTCTCCCAATCAACGTTCCCATCTGACAAGAGTAAAATTCAATGAGGTGTCGAAAGTCGGAACTAATGACGTTCGCAGCGAAATTGTAACGTCTTTCTGGTCAACCAAATTTCTGGTCAGCGAAATTTTGCATGTGCGTGGGTTTCGCCCACACACATCATGTGCACAGCGTTCACATAACCATCTGTCGTGCAAACCTGCACCTACTTTGGTTGGTAACGTGCATGCGCGTAATTCACTCACCTGCTATTGCTGTGTTGGCAAGCCGCCCTCGTAGGTAGGTGGCGACAATATTGTGCAAGGCGTTCGAGCCTAGCATGTCTTCTGTAGTATTATTTTCCCATGCATTTTGTTGCTGATTCCTGCTAGCAAAAGTCTTTGTCTATTGCTACGTATTATGAGCTGCATAACACGATGAATCCTACGCACTTCCCATGTGGAATACTCCCATAGTAGGACGACTCTCCGCAGTCTGGTGCAAGTGAGGGAGCTTTCCTACGAGACTGTGGTGTGGTTGAGCATTCTCTTGTGTCTCGCCTCTTAACACACGCCTTAACGGTTTTGACACTCAGCTTGGTGCAAGTGAGCTCTTCCAAGTCTGCAGATATCCACCACCTCCCTGTTAACTCCCCCCCCTCCCCCCACTCCCCATCCAGGCACACACAGCTTCCCAGCATGTGGCAGTGGTAGGGCATTCCCATCCTCATCGCTCTCTCTCTTTCTGTGACCTCGCACAGTAAAGAAACTATGTGCATGCCCTATCTCTTTTTGTTGATTCCCCACCCAGGCACACCCAGCCCCCCAGCGCGTGGCAGCAGTGGGGCATCCCCATCCTCATCGCCCTCTTTGCCCTCCTCGTGCTGCTCGTGCTGGTAGCGGCCTGCCTGCAGCGCTCCAAGTTCTACCAGACCCAGCAGCAGGTGGCAGAGGCAGACCGGCTGAGACGGGAGGCGGAGGGAGCAGAGGCGTCAAAGAGCATGTTCGTGGCGTGCATGTCTCACGAGCTGCGGACGCCCATGGTCGGGATCATTGGTGAGTAGCGCATTCTTGCTTGATTCATGCGCGCCTGCTGTGCGCCAAGCAGACTCAGCAGCAGCTGGTTGCAGGGGTTGAAAGGTTGCGATGGGTGGTGTTGAGAAAACCACAATCATAGCAGCTCGGTAGGGTAGGCAGAAGAATGTGAGCGGTATCTAATTTCAACGCTCAACTGGTCGATGCCACCTCACTCGCCACACACGAACTAGTAGACAAAGTGAAGATTTGTTGCAGGACTGACTTCGTCTTACACAGGAAATGGTAGCAACAACACTTGCTAGGCCGTGATTGGCTGCGACGCTACAACCTCGCTGGCTCTCGCTTGATTTTTCAATGGTCCATGTTTATGCCATCGTGTTGAAACATGCCGTCAAATCAATGAAGCAGGGCAGCCGAGTGATTTCCAAAAATTGCTGGCTGCTGTCCCGTAGGAGTTCGCGGAATTGTTGAATGGCATTCACCGTTTTCCCCCTGTAATCTGCCCGAGGGACTGCCACCTCAGCGCCCGCATGATCAGAAAAACGAAGTAGAACCAATGGTTGATATGCTGAGATGGGAGGCGTCAAAAGAGCATGGTTACTGCGTGCATGTTGCATCGGCGTTGGACGTTCATGGTCGTAATCAGTTGTATGACTTTTGAGTCAACTCAAAAGGCGTCAAAGAGCATGGTTACGGTGTGCATGTTGCATCGGCGTTGGATGTTCATGGTCGTAATCAGTGGTATGGAATTGATGGTACTCGTATCGTCATAAGATTTTCCTGTCAGGATTCTTGGTATGTACAACATCTTGTTTCATTCACATGCCTTGTCCTTCTCCTTTGGTTGGAAGTCAGCCACACCAGCAGCAGCCGTACTTCATATATAGATGTACTTGTTGTGCTTATCACTGCTGACTATGTTGCTGTTGCTGTTTCTGTCGCTGTTGCTGCTACTGTTCTTGTTGTTGTTGCTGCTGCTGCTACTGTTCTTGTTGTTGTTGCTGCTGCTGCTACTGTTCTTGTTGTTGTTGCTGCTGCTGCTGTTCTTGTTGCTGCTGCTGCCGATGCCGCCGCTGGCGTCGTTGTCGTTGTTATTGCTAATTATGTTTTCCCATTCCGACCTGCCTGTCCTCTCATACCTACTCATGGTATCAGCATCGGCCAAGGATGCATTGCATCAGGTAAACTGCGTCCTTCGCTTGACTCCACACCTGCACCCTTCTTCCGCACCCACTCCCTCTCTCTCCCACCAGGGATGATTGACGCTCTAGCAGACATGGGCCTGAACGCCTCTCAGCTAGCAGACCTGCTAATGGCCGGGGCATCAGCCAAGGATGCACTGCATCTGGTCAACCGCGTGTTGGACCTGGCGAAGCTGGAGGCAGGCAAGGCGGTGTTAGATGAGACGGTGATTGATGTGCGGGAGTGGCTTAGTACCACTCTGGGTTGGCACGCAGAGGCGGCACATTCCAAAGGCATTGAGCGTGAGTGGCGGATGGAAGAACGTGTGTTGATGAATCGCCAGGAGAGCCCCGCCACGTTTGTACGAAGATCGTATAACATGCACTATGTGTCTCACTGTTCTTGACATTGTGTGTCTGATTCCAGCGGCATCATTTTGCCCTGGGTACCTTAGCCTCATTCCCGCAATCATACATTGAAAAGTTCCACCTTCCTGATCAATGACTGATTTTGAGACGTCTCAAAACAAAACCAATCTTTGATCACGTGGTTCTGAGGCGTCTCAAATCCAATCTTTTATCACGTGCCTTCTGTGTCTCATTCCGTTATCACATTGTTGACTTGTGTAACATGCCTCATTGTTGACTTGTGTACCATGCCTCATTGTTGTCTTGTGTACCATGCCTCATGTGTCTCATTCCAGTAGCATCACTTTGTCCTATGTATCTCGCCTTATTCTCGTGTCGTGAGGCGATTTTCAACGCGCCTCCGAAGTCAGTTTGCCCTGTATACCTTGGCCTCATTCCCGTGCTGACGTGCTAGAAACTTCCCATGCAGTGAGCGCCATTGTGGGAGACGACTGCCCCACGCATGTCATTGTGGACCCCATGCATCTCAGCACCATGATCAAGGAGATCACAGGTGGGCCTGCGGTTAAGACTGGTGATGTGTGGGGTTTTTTTTTTTTTTTTTTTTGCGACCTGTCCGGCTCCACCGGAACCCGGGGTCAGGCTTGCGCCCTACCAAGGTAGCCCCGGTCAGCCATGTGCGGTGGTGGGATGGGATGATATGTCGCGTCTGAACTCCATGCATCTCAGCACCATGGGCAAGGAGACCACAGGTGGGCTCATGGCTGTGGTTAGAGTGTACATGATGGTAAGTGGGTGGGGTGGTGTGAGCGCGCGATGGTAACCGCCTCACACATGCATGTTGTCATTGTGGACCCACACATAGGCCAGTGAGCAGCAGTGTGGGTGATGACTGCCCCACGCATGTCATTGTGAGCCTCATGTATCTCAGCAGCACCAATGGTCAAGGGCATCACATGGAAGCTTGGGGTTGGGAGTGGTGATGTGTGGTGGCGAGGTGATGTGTGTCATTGTGAACCCCTTGCGCCTCAGCGACATGGTCGGGGAGATCACAGGTGCACCCCAGGTTGTGGTTAGAGTGATGATGATGGTAAGCGGGTGGGGTGTGGTGAGGTGATGTGTGCCGTTGTGAACCCCTTGCACTTCAGCATTAATGCGTTCAAGGAGATCACGGTTGAGTGGGTCTTGAGGCATGTTCCAGCGAGTCAGTGACGGCCTGTCACAGATGAACAGAGGCTGTGTTGGGTGATGGTTAGGGGGTGGAGTGGGTGATGGTTAGGGGGTGGAGTGGGTGATGGTTAGGGGGTGGAGTGGGTGATGGTCAGGGGGTGGAGTGGGTGATGGTCAGGGGGTGGAGTGTGTGATGGTAACGCATGCCACACGCATGTCATTGTGGACCCTCCACATGCACCTCGGCAACACGGCCGAGTGCGCTGTGACATGTAACTGAAATTGCACTGTGTCCAATTGATTTGAACAACCACAGTGCACCTGTCAAGGCCCTGTTCATGATTCACCTCCCTGATTCTGACATGTTCCACCTCTGGTTACCACTTCCTCGGTTACCACTTCCTCGGTTGCGTTTCAGATAATGCGGTCAAGTTCACGACACAAGGCCACGTGACAGTGCGGGTGTCGCTGGTGCCACAAGGGACAAGCTTGAAAGACACCCTTTGTTACCAGGGTGAGTTGGTTAGCTTGGGAGCGGTTGCATGCGCCGTTCGTGATTATGCATGCTCATGCGCTACTTGTTTTGAACATATATTGTCCTCGGTCTCACGCCACTCCTTGATTTTTAGCCTACCCTCCCTCTCTCCTCCCACATCTTTTCCCAACCCCTCTCTTCACTCCCGTTACCTCCACTTTCTTTCCCAATTCACATTTCCCCATCTACCTCACGCCTTTCCTCAGCCTCAACACGAGAACCCACTCGTACAACTGCCAACTGGCCGTCCTCTGGCCGTCCACCTTGTTATGTTCCTGCAAGCGCTTAACAAACAATATTTTCTCTCTCCCCATTTCCCCCGTCTATCTCCAGCCTTCCCTCAGCAAAACTACAAGAGCCCACTGTTACCACTGGCCTCTGGCCGCCAGCCTGGCTTCTCTTCCTTCACCATCTAGAAAACAAGTTTTTTTTTCTCCCTGATCCCCCTTCTACCCCAGGCCTTTCCTCACCCCGAGCACCCACTGCTACCGCTGCCCGTTGGACGCCCACCTGGCTTACTTCTAGACGGCGCTGCCTGCTCGAGGTGGCGAGGGGGGGGGCAGCAGCAACAGCAGCAGCAGCAACAGCAACAGCAGCAGCAGCAACAGCAGCAGCAACAACAGTTGCAGCAGCAGCAACAGCAGCAGCAACAACAGTTGCAGCAGACAGTGCAAGTCTAGAGGGGAGGCATGAAAGAGGGCATGAGAGTCACGGCAGGAAGCGCTCTAAAGATCGGAAAAGGGGGCGTGGCCGAGGGCGTCGAATAGGCCATGGGAGTGGGCAAGAGAGGGGTGGAGAGCGGTGCATGCTTGTGCTGTCGTGCCAAGACTCTGGCTGTGGCCTTCCAGCGTCTCTCCACACTGCAAGTGGTACTCAAGGGCCCTCCTACTTCTCCCTCCTGGTGAGCCTTGATTGTTTGTCTCCCTGTGTGTGAGCGCCATTCCTCTCCCTCCTACTTGACTCACGATGTTGAAACTCAGATGCTGGGCTATCAACGTCTCTCCTCTCCACACTGCAAGTAAAGGGCATTGGAGGGCCGTCCTACTTCTCCCTTTCGGTGAGCCTTGATTGTTTGTCTCCCTCCCTGCTGCTGAGCTTTCTACATTTCTCTCCAGCCCGACATGGTGTTGTTACCCTAAACGTTTGCCTTCCAGTGTCTCTCCATGCGGCAGGTGGCTCTCAAGGGCCTTTCTACCTCTCCGTCCTCGCAAGCCTTGTTTGTTTGCCTCCCTGCTGCTCCCCACCTCCATCTGCCCCCCTCCCTTCGTTCCTCTTCCGTCTTTCATCCCTTCCCTTCCCTCCCTTCCCCTCCCCCTCCCCTCACCTCCCGTCCCGTCCTGTCCCGTCCCCTCCCCTTACCTCCCCACTCCTCTCCTCCCCTCCTCTCCCCCTCTTCTCCGCTTCCCTCCCCTCCCGTCCCTTCCCCCCCCTTCTCCTCCCCTCTGTTCCACATCCCTTCCTTCTCCTCCCCTCAGTCCACTTCCTTCCCTTTTCCTCCTCTTCCCTCCCCGTACCCCCTCATCTCCCTCTCTCACTGCGCTTCTCTCATGGTTTACCTCACACACCCCCCACACTCTCACTCCATCTTCTCAACACGCCCCATCTCTTACTACTCTATTTGACCCTTGTTCCCTTTGCTCTCGCCCTTTTTGGTTTTTAGTCGACTTGCTCTCGCCCCTTCCGTGCGAATGCTCACAGTTGTCTAAAACAACATGCCCCAGATATGAGGCGACTCAAAATAGGTCCCCACACTCTCACACTCTGTTCTCAACACGCCCCATCTCTTACTACTCTAGTCGTCTGAGAATGCTCTCAGCTGATTAGTAACACACCCCACTCCCACACTGTTATCTCTTTACTCTACCAGGAATCGCGGGAGCAAAGGGAAGCAAGGAGTGGGTCAGGGGCAGCCCTTGGGCTCGTGTTGGTGCACCAAACCGTGAGTGCATCAGACATCCTTATTCGTTTCACTGTGTTGCCGTTTCCGAGTTTTGAGATGTCCCAAAACTAGAGGGGAGCAAGGAGTGGGTCAGGGGCAGCCCTTGGGCTCGTGTTGGTGCACCAAACCGTGAGTGCATCAGACATCCTTATTCATTTCACTGTGTTGCCGTTTCCGAGTTTTGAGATGTCCCAAAACTAGAGGGGAGCAAGGAGTGGGTCAGGGGCAGGCCTTGGGCTCGTGTTGGTGCAGCGAACGGTGAGTCGATCGAACTTCATTTTTTGCCTACACTTTGATACCAAGTCCAATGTTTAGGCGTCTCAAAGACAAAGAGGGTAAGAGGAGTGTGCGGGGGCAGCACTCGGGCTCGTGTTGGTGCAGCAAACGGTGAGTCAATAAAAAATCTGTCCATTCTTCATTTTCACTGCTGTCGTTGCTTTGTTGCTGCTGCTGCTGCTGCTGCTGCTGCTGCTGCTGCTGCTGCTGCTGCTGCTATTTCTGCTGCTGCTGCTGCTGCTGCTGCTGCTGCTGCTATTTCTGCTGCGGCTGCTGCTATTTCTGCTGCTATTTCTGCTGCTGCTACTGCTGCTTCTCAATCCTAGGTCTGGTTCTCAATTGCAGAAGCACCCTTTTCATCTCCCCCTTCCTGCTACCCCCCAGGTGACTCTATTGAAGGGAGAGCTCGCCTTCGACTCAGAGCCCGGGTGTGGCAGCACAGTTGCCTTCTCCGTGCCTGTAGCCATGCCCTCGTTACAACAACACTGTTTAGACGAACTGCAGTCAAGCAATCAGCAACCACAGCATCAGCAGCAGGAGCAGGAGCAAGAGCAGCAGGAGCAGGAGCAGCAGGAGCAGCAGGAGCAGCAGCAGGAGCAGCAGGAGCAGCAGCAGGAGCAGGAGAAGCAGGAGCAAAGTCAACAAAATCAAGAAGGAGTTGTATGGCATGGTGAGGGGCAAAGGAGTGCTTCAGGTGATCTCTCAGGTGCCTCCAGCAGTTTCCACGCGCGTGAGGCAGATTCAGGATATTTTTCAGGTGCCAGCAGCAGATGGTTGCTGCCGCACGGCCAGGAGAGTGATCAGGTGCCTCAACAGAACCAGCGTCACCAGCAGGAGCAGCAGCAGCAGCAGCAGCAGCAGCAGCAGCAGCACCAGGGAGTGACACTCACCCAGAGTGGCCGGTGCAAGAGTGAGAAATTGAGTGTGAGTAGGAGTGGGATTGGGGGTGCGAGTGCGAGATACGAGCGATCGATCTCACTGTGTGCGTTGGGAACGAGTGCCAGTGCCGCCAGTGTTGGTGCTGCCACTGCTACTGCGGCCGATGAGGCGGTGACGCGGGCGTGGGTGGAAGGGCTGCGAGTGCTGGTGGTGGACGACACGCCCGTCAACCTCCTCGTGGCCCGCCGCTCCCTCGCCCGCTGGGGTGCCCTCGTCACCACCGCTTCCTGTGGAGAGGAGGCGGTTGAGTTAATCGCTTATGGCTTGGTGGGGTTGAGAGCGGAGGAGGAGGAGAGTGGGCAAGAGGCACTTGAGGAAGAGGGAAGAATGCAGCAGGAGGCAAGAGGGCAACAGGAGGAGGACAGAGGGAAGGACGAGGCGAAAGGACAGTAGGAGGCGGGTGCAGCATCATTGAAGCATGGCTTCGACTTGGTTCTGTGCAGATGCCGGGCATGGACGGGTGAGTGGTTGTGAGTGGTGGTGAGTGGTGAGTGGGCATGGATGGGTGACTCATGAACGTGCGTACAAAACCTTTCTCCTACGTGAACCTTTTTCGTTGCTAACTTTATCCATACGAGCTTGATGTCCCTGTTGCTTGATTTCCTCCCTTCCTCCTTCCTCTTGCCATGGTAGCTTCGCAGCAGCAGCAGCCATACGAGCTCTTGAAAGGAGGGTGAGGTTTGAAACCATTTCACGGGCATAGCAATTGCACCAGCAAACGCAGCAGCAAACCCCTTCTGCTCTTTGCGTCCCTCTCCTAGAAGCTTCAAACCCTCCTGCTGCTGGCGCTGGTGTTGGTGCTCCTGCTGCTGCTGCTGCTGCTGCTGCTGCTGCTGCTTCTCGCGAACCATACGGCAGCCGCCACAGCAGCAGCCAATGTAGCATCGACGTCAGCAGCAGCAGCGGCGACACCGACACTTCACCCAGCAGCAGCGGCAGTGGCTACAGTGAATCTTGAGGCGGCACGTCCGAGGCAACCGGAGACGTTCAATCCGAATGCGAGAGACACCGACGTCCGTCGATTCATTGCGACCCTCGAAATTTACTTCGAGGCCGTTGGCTGTACGACCCCGACACACGATGCAATGCGGATTTGGCTCGCAGCGACACTGTTACGAGGCCCGGCGCTCGAGTGGATTTACAACAGCAATAAGAGGCAAGGGGTCATGGACGCAGTTTCGGGAAGCTTTAATTCAACGTTTCGAACCAATCAACTCCAACTACATGGCGCGGCAGCATATTCATCGGCATAAACAGTTCGGCAGTGTAACACAGTACACGCAGCAGATGGAGAGCCTCTTCAACCGAATAACCGACCTGACCGAAGGGGAAAAAATCCAAGCGTATACTGAGGGGCTAAAAATGGAAGTTCGGCAACAGGTGATTGCCGCGAACTACAACAACTACCGCGACATGGTGTGTGCAGCAGAGAGATTCGATGCGCTGATGCGATGTGAACCTAAGACACGACGCCACGTGCTGAACCGATCATTTGGCACGAAGCGATCGGCACTACCCACGACCGCCGACCCGATGGATATCGACAAGATCGACGCGAAGCAGCGGCCTACAAAATATGAGAAGTGCGAATTTTGCGGCGCAGCAAGACATCGATTCTTGGCGTGTTGGAAAATGAAGAAGACACGAGCGGAGCTGCAGGGCAACAACAGTGCGACATCCACGATGGCGAAAAAAGGAGGGCACGATGGCGCGAATTTAAAACGCCACGACCGGCCGGCAACAGGGGAAATCGCCGAGATAAATGGAGGCTCCGCGAAACAAGTCTCTGCACCGACCGAACACCCCCGAGAGTAAGAATATTCCCTCTCGAGGTTTTCAAGCCTTAAAAAAATTCAGGGGAGATTTCGAGGCCAAAAAAAAGTCTTCTGACATTATTCAGGTAGCTGAGAAGTTGGGCAAACCACTCCGGAGCGTTGAATAAGGTCATGTGTTCCAAGGAGTTACTATTCTCTCCCCGCAGCACGGTGTTAAGGCTCCCAATTGCCCACAGGTGAAGCCTACACAGCTGCAAAGGCTTATGGGAAGGTTCCAGGCCAACACGAAGCTGAATCGGCCTCGGATAAATCCTTCCAACCCTACTTAGTTGGAAATTGATATGGAGTCAGCAGCTTCGAGCGCATGACCGAGGGATGATCTATTCGACGTACCCTACGATCCTATAAGCGAGACCATCTACGGTTACTCGGAGCGGCAACAACCAATACTACTCGAGGTGATCTGCAACGAGCGACGCCTCCAGGCACTGGTGGACAGCGGTGCGTCTCACTCGGTGTGTGAGCGCGGGACGTCGGAGAAAATTGGGGAACCTTCCGAGGAGACCAAGTTCACGGCAACGATGGTGGACGGTACGAAACTTCCCATCCACGGCGAAGCATCACTGCAGCTGCACATAGGGGCGCTGAGGTGGAAGCCGACGTTGCCGATCACGAACATCAAGGGATCAGATTTCATCTTGGGGCGAGATTTCTTGAAGCGGTTCAACCCCGAGATCGATTGGGTCAACAGGAAGGCGTGCATCTACAACAGCGGGAAACGAGTGGAGCTGCGAAGCTGGACGGATACAGGGAGCGTTCCTGAAACGACACTGGCACGGTTTGAACGGACGGTGAACGAGAGTAAAACGGCTACCTAGCACTGGTTATGGCAGCAGCAGAGGAGGAGAAGCCGAGTTCGGAGCTACCTGCAGCAGTGAAGAAAGCCTTGGAGCAGTACAAGAATATAATGCCCGACGACCTACCTGCAGGCGTACCCTCTGCACGCACCCACGAGCACGAGATCGTGGAGGAACCAGGTGCGAAACCCGTCTCACGAGGGCATGATGCCATACTCGTGGCGATCGACAAGTTCTCTAAAATGGGTCACTTCATACCGACCAACGCCACAGCTACAGCTGAAGCAACTGCTCGCCTCTTCTTCGACCGCATCATCACCATCCACTGCATCCCCGCTACACTCATCTCAGACAGAGACCCCAAATTCACGAGTAAGTTCTGGAAAAAGCTCATGGGACTGTTAGGGACAAAGCTTGCAATGTCTTCAGCATACCACCCCCAGACTGACGGACAGACAGAGCGACTCAATCAAGTGGTTGAACAATTACTGCGCACAGCTTGCAAAGACGACATCAGCCACTGGGACACACAGTTACCGACCTTAGAGTTCGCTTATAATAACGCCTCACATGCGGCCACAGAGAAAACTCATTTCTTCCTGTGTTACGGACAGGAATCATTTACACCACAGCAGCCAACCACACCGGCACACATCCAAGCCGCACATGACTTCGTCACCACCATGCACCAGCTATGGGAGAAGACGCAGCGACGTCTCACCACGATGCAGACCTCCCAGAAGCAGTATGCCGATCGCCAGCGACGAGATCACTCAGTAGCAGTCGGAGATCAGGTGCTTCTTGACACGCGCAACTTGAACCTGTCTCACCTCCCATCCAAACTCCGGCCTCGCTTCTGTGGTCCTTTTCTCGTTGAGGCACAGGTGACACCAGTAACATTCCGCTTGCGCTTACCTACTCCATGGAAGCTTCACAATGCTTTCCATGTTCAGCTACTGAAGCCCTACAAGGACCCCAACCAACAGATCCAGGGACGGCAGCTACCGCCACCACCACCTATACTCATACAGGATGAACCAGAATGCGAGATTGAGCGTGTTTTCACTCATCGGCGCCTCAGCGGCAAGACCCTCGAGTTCCTGATACGCTGGAAGGGATACGACCCCACTGAGGACAGTTGGGTTGCAGAAGCTAATATGGGCAACGCACGCCGTGCTCTCAAGGCCTATCTTGTCAAGCAGGGTGTATCTCACGCCACCCAGCTTTGAGGGGGGGACGTGTAAGAGTACGACGGCTTATGCCAGCTATGCTTGCTTGCTTTTACTTTATTATGCTATTTCTAGCATAGGATAATTATATGCATGCATGAATTGCTTGATTTCCTAGGCTAGGTGCTTTCCTATATTATAGTTATAGCACCGAGCTAGGTTGCGTGCACCGAATTCTGGCTTTTCGGTTGCCACCGAATTGCCTTCTACCGAATTCGGGAAGGATCTGTTCGGGACGCTTCGCGACCCGCGGAACCTTCGCGTAACACCTGGTTACGGGGCCTTGTGTCGAGCCTATATATAGCCTCGCATTGTACCCAGGTGAATCATTGAATTACAACTCTCTTTTCTGAGCTCGATCCTAGATCCTCACAGTAAACTAAGTTGTGCGAAATAACGAATTTCGAGGCTGTGACAATATGGACTGACGATACAATGGATGCCGCGAGTACATATAGCGGGCCAATCTAGATAAGCGGGTATATCGAGAATATGAGGTTGAATGCAGATAGGGTGAAGGGAAGCCGAAGGCAACGCGATGTTGCTTCGGTGTCAAGGAAACCTGCGGAACGTGCACTTGTACACGAAACAGTAAACCCTGACGAAGACAAGGGTTTTTCCTTACACGACCCTCCCCCCTTTTTTATAAGGTGGTCAATATCTGCAGCACGCTTGTGGTCGAGGTAAACCCGAAGCAGCGGTGTTTCAAGCGAGGCATATGTCACCCAAGTATCGTCCTCGCTTGTGCGGTCAGTTCAGCGGAACAGGTAAAATCCACATGGTGCTCACTTGCGTCAAGTCATATGCGGTGCTTCAAGATTTTCAACAGGTCAGGTCGTGCCGTTGAGGCGACGTTTTGGCATGTGATATTCGTCGTGGAAGCAACAAAAGGACAGAAGAGGCTGACGTGGAACGCATCGTGCACACGCCAACAAGAGTTTTGTCAACGGGTCATAATGCGAAAAAGTCCATAGTATCGCGGGCAGAGTTTTGGCGAGATGGGTAGTCGATTTATTATCGTGTTGAGTAGGACTAGTTGCCCATCAACCATGGTGCTTTTCCAGCATAGGAGATCGGGGTCTTTGCAGGCAGTTGCATTTTCTTCGCGAATGGCTTTGACAGCTTTCTCGCTGACAGCCTGAAGTTCCAACACAAAGTGTTGCGAATGTGGTATTGGGTTGTCATGTGCTGTAGTTGAGGGTACCACGCAATCCATCCCGTAATTCAAGAAAAACGGTGAATTGTTGGTTGTACTAGATGGGGCATTGTTGTATGCAAATTCTAGCATCAGGAGTAAAATCTCTCATCGAGAGGGTCAGGGCAGTTCGTGCGAATGAGCTGCTCCATTGTCTGACTGGTGCGCTCGATCTGTTTGTCGGTTTGCTGGTTGTAGGCCGACGAGAACTGTACTCTTGTGCCATACTGAGCCCATGTTTCTTTTTGGAACTTTGACGTGAACTTCCGATCGTGGTCGTTGACGATTGCAGTCGGGATTCCGTGAAGCCAAACAACTGTTGAGATGAACAGGCGCGCGGTTTCTTTGGCTGTGATGGTTGTATGACATGGTGTAAAATGCGCCATTGTCACGAGGCGATCGGCGACAACAAACAATGCGTCGTTGTTGGACGCACCAGGCAGTCCCGTGACAAAGTCAATTGTCATCTGTTGCCATGGTCGCTCGGATGGCTTGAAGGGCTGCAGCAAGCCGGCCCGTCGCTGACTTGTTGAATCTCTTGCTTTGCACACTCTTCATGAAGAGACATAACGTGGTACCTCAGATTTAAGTCAGGTCAATAATACTGGCAATGCAGAATGTCCTGCGTCTTGTAAACTCCAAAATGT